GGTGGGGGAGATGCCACAAGGGGTTGGGAAGGGGGAGGCAGGAGGGGGACTGGGGCTGCTCCAGGAGTAGAGAGAGGGGCTGGGGCTGCAGCTCCTGCTGGGCTCAGAGGGACAGCAGCAGGAGCAGCTTTCACAGGAGAGCTGAGAGCAGCAGGAGCAGCAGCCAGAGCAGGGGACACTGGAGCCTGGAGTCCTGGAGATCCTGGGCTAACTGGGGCAGGCCCTGGAGATCCTGGGGCTGCAAAACCCACGGGGGACGGCGGAGCCAGAGGAGGGGAAGTGGTGACTGGGCCCGGCAAAGCCGGGGCAGGGGGCTGGGGAGGCACAGAGAACACGGGGATGGCCACGGCCGGGACCACGGCGGGGGATGTGGGGGCCGGGGGGCCCGGCAGAGCCGTGGCAGCAGCACTGGGTGGCTGCACTGGGAGAGCCTGGGCAGATGGAGATGGAGTCAGAGGTGGGGAATGAGCAGCATGAAGAACAGCTAAAGGAGAGAAACAGAGTGAGCCATGAGAGGAGGGAGGGAGGGAGGGGACAGGGAGCCTGCCCTGGCCTTCCTCCTGGCCTTGGCACCCAGCCTCTAGAGCAGCAGACACTGCCCAGCCTGCCGGGGTCCACATGGGGTCATCCCTTCCAGAAACCAGCACTGATTTTCCCAGGAGCCCTGGAATGGCAGGAGGCACCAGATGAACCACCAGGAAGCCCCATCGGGCTGGGGATGCAGGGACCTGGCTCTGCTGCCAGCTCTTCTCTACCAAAGGAGTTGCCACAACCTCCATGGAGGTCTGGTGGGACCCCCAGGGCTGCTCCCGAGCCTGGGATCACACCCCAGGCTGGTGGGAGCAGGGAGGGACGAGGACCCCCTTGAGGAGAGGAAGGAAGTCAAACGTAACCCACTGGCATGCGGAATTGTTCCTGGAGCGCTCTGGGAGCCCCCTCCCTCCAGCCCTGGGTGACACAGGCAGGTGCCCTGAGGGGACAGGGACACCAAGGCAGGGGATGGTGGGGCCGGGACCCCCAGAGCCCCCTGGGAGCTGTTAGGGTTAATGGAACGGCACACGGTTAATGCCACACGAGCGGTTACAGGACATCCCGAGTACCTGGAGCAGGGATGGGAGCAGGAACGGGGGCAGCTGGAGCTGGACGGGGAGAACAACACTTTATTAAGGCTCATCCCACTGACTGAGAGTGCTCAGCTTCCAGCTCCCTGAACCAGTGCTGAGGGAGCCTGGAGAGAGCCCTGCCAATCCCAACACAATTCCCAACTCCGAGCGAAGGGCACTGCTCAGGGAAGAGCCTGGAGAGAGCCCTGCCATTCCCAATGCCAATCAAAGGGTGCTGCTCAGGGAAGAGCCTGGAGAGAGCCCTGCCATTCCCAACGCCAATCAAAGGGTGCTGCTCAGGGAAGAGCCTGGAGAGAGCCCTGCCATTCCCAACGCCAATCAAAGGGTGCTGCTCAGGGAAGAGGCCGTGAGAGCGCTCGGCTTCCCGCTCCCCCAGCCAGCGCTGAGAGCCTCGCCATTCCCAGTGTGATTCCCATCCCCTTTCCCAATGCCAACAGGCAGTCCCAGGGTGCTGCTCAGGGAAGGGCAGTGCTGGTCTGACCAGTGTGACCGGCCCTGCCGCCGGTCGGGAGAGCAGAACCGGCCCGGCCGCGGTGCCGCCCTCCGGCAGCGCGTCCCGGCACGTCCGGCGAGGGCAGCGGGGCCAGGGAGGATCCCCAACAACTGCAGAACCAAAGCCAGCCCAGTTCCGTGGATCCTGGGAGCAGCAGGGCCCTCCCAGCTCTGTGTGGCCCTGCCCCCTGTCCTGTCCCACCCCGGGATCGGGGTCACACTCGTGTCCCCGTCTCGCTGCCGCCTGGAGCGGGACCTGTGCGTGGGGCTCTCCGTGGGGAGCAGCGGCCCTTTCCCTGCCCCAGGAATGGTGTCCCAGAGGATGTTTCTAATGCCCGATTTTAGCTCCACCTGTTCTGACCAGCCTGGAGCTGGACATCGGTGCCAGGACAATTCCTGCTCCAAGGAACACGCTGCTGCCTCAGGAAGGAGCAACAAGTCCTGCCAAGGGCCCATCATGGAACTGTGCAGAGCTGCCTCCTCCCAACAGTCCTTCATCCCTGCTCCTCTACCAGCTCCAGTGGCACCATTCCCAATAAACACCACCATTCCCACTCATCACCCACAGCCCCACCTCTCCTTGGCCCCTTCTCCAACAAAGTCAAGCCATGGGATTCCCAAAAGACAGGGAATTTGTAAGGGATGCTCAGACCACCTGGGCAGCAGAGCCTGCCAAGAGCTGAACCCCTGGATCAGCCCCATCTCCAGGGGTTTTCCAGGGGACCAGCCAACCTCCACAGAACCAGACAAAATCCAAGGAGCTGCCTCAGGACTCCCATGACATCGTCAGAGACTTGACAGCAGTGGAATTTTGGGAGGAGGAGGAGGGTGTGAGTTGTCAGTGGAGAGGGACAGAAAAGCCATCCGGGGAGGGGGCCCCAGCCAGGAATTCCAGCTACGAGGAACCAGGAGCTCCCTGGGAATCCCTGGTACAGCTGTCACGCCAACAGCTGTCACTCGGCTCTGCCACCAACCATGGGGAGCCCCAAATCCAGTGGGAGCCCCCAAATCCAATGGGGCAGATCCCCAAATCCAACAGGGAGAGACTCCCAAATCCAATCAAGCAGACCCCACTGCTCCACTCCGGTCACACTCCCTGTGGGATATCCCACGTGTTCTGGGGTGGGAAACAAAACGGAACCGGCACGGATTTGTTTTGGCCGCAGCAAAGGGACACAGAGGAAGAGGAGGTGCCGTGGAACAGAGACCCCAAACCCCCCCGGCGGAGGTGACAACACTCGAGCTGGTGTCTATCGCCCGCCACCGGGTCCGCGACCCCCTCCCCGCCCTCACCGGGGGGCTGCAGCTCCCCCCTCCCGCCCTCAGATCCCGCCGGGCAGGGGGATCCCGGGAATCGACCCCAAAACCGTGACCCTCTCCCGGCCTCAGCCCCAAAACCGCCCCGGAGCCCCCCCGGCCTCACCTGTCTCCGCCTGCGGCTGCGGCAGCTCCTGCTCCGTGGCCGGGACGGTTTCTGTGGCTTCGCCGGGCATTTCTGCGGGAGGGAGGCACAAAGCGACAGGCCCGGGCTCGCCGGGGCTCCGGGACAGCCCGGCGGGGCGACCACCGGGCGCCGGTAACTCGCCCTCCCCGCATTCCCCCGCTCCGGAGCACCGAGCGCCTCCCGCTACTGCGGCAATCTACCGAGACAACTCCCCCGCACGGCCCGGGTCGAGCCTGAGCTCCGTCCCGACCCCGGGCCTCGGCCGCCCCCTTCTCCCCCCCTCTCGCCCCCGGTGCGCGGGGCCTCCCCCGCCGCCCTGCCCGGCGCGTCCGCGGCGGCATCGCCGGCCTCCAGCGGGTCCTCCCGGGCGCGCCGCAGCCCCCGCGGCGGCGGATGGCGGCGGATGACGGCGGATGGCGGCGGATGGCGGCGCGGGACTCACTGTGCGGGGAGCGGGGCCCAAGATGGCGGCGGAAAGAGACCGTGAAGGGAGCGCGGCTTCCGGGAGCACGGCACTTCCGGGGCAGGGGGGGCGCCCGGCAACATGGCCCGGCCCGCCCCCAGGGCCGCGCTCCGGAGTTCCGGGCTCTGTTCGGGTCGCCCCCGCTATGGGTGTGGGGACCCCCCCCGGGGTGCGGTGGGACCCCCGTGGGAGGGAAGCGAGGAACGCCCCGGGTGTGGGGATGAGGTGCTGTGAATGTGGGCCTTGACCTCAGCAGTGGGCAGGGGTAGGGGGTCAGGGCAGGGGGGACAAGCTGGGTTTTGGGGGGCAGAGACCCCACACTGCAGAGCAGGGATGTCCCCTCAGCTCCTCCCCACGGGGAGGGACACAGACCCCAGACAGAGCCAGATACAGACCCCACACAGAACCCACACAGACCCCACGCACAGAGCCCCGCCCGCCTCCGGCACAGCACAAGGGTGACCAGAAACATTTAATGGTTTTTGTGTAGAAAAGGTACAAAAAGTACAAAAAGTGTAAGGGGCTGTGAGTGAGGAACAGGGAGCCGGTGCAGTTCGGCTGCTCCAAGGCACCAGGACCTCCCTGGGCAGCCAAGGTGACAATGACAAGCACAGAGGTGACAATGGCCATCGCTCCCTCGCCGTCCTTTCATCCAGGACCCCTGGCAGCGAGGGCTCAGAAGTCTCCCTGAATGTCTGCCAAGAGGAGAAATGGGAATTTTTCCAGAAAAAGAGCCGTTTCTCAGAGCCAGGGGGTCTCCCCCTCCCGGCACCCACCGCTCCGGCGCAGCCGCTCCCCCCGCCGGGCGCTCTCCATGCCCTCCACGAACTGCTCGAAGACCCTCACGTAGGGAGCCAGGCTCGTCCTCTTGTAGTCTGGAGGGTTGGGGGAGTGAGCAGGGGTGCTGGGGACCCCCCTCGCCCCCACCCAGACTCCCCCTCACCCCTCGCCCGGCGCTTCGGCTCCGTCTCCCCGACATCCTCCTGCTCCCCATCGCTGCCAGCCGTGTCCAGCTCGTGGCACAGGGAGCTGTGGGAGAACCAGGGTGAGGTTTTGGGGCTGTGGCACCCCCAGGACCCTGCCCTTAGCGCTGCCGCCCCACGCACGCACGTGATGGTGGGGACAGCAAACGGGTCAAACTGGTCCAGCGTCTGCAGGTCCAGCGGCACCGAAACGCGGCCTTAGAGAGAGAGAGAGGGGGTCAATGGAGGGACCGCCCTGGGGGTCCCCCTGTGGGGTCCCGCCCCACACCCACCCGTTTTGGGGTGGACGCTGAAGGGGCTCTTGAGCAGGTGCCCCACGCCCTTGCTGACGTTGATGTCGAGGCGGGGGAAGCAGAACTGCAGCATGATCTCCCAGTCCGCGTAGCACGGGGCGGCCCCGCGGCCCCGCGTCCTCTCCATGCGGCCCCGCAGCACCTCCCAGCGCTGCACCGAGTCCTTCCTGCGCGGGAACTCGCCCTGCAGCGCCTCGCGGTGCTGTGCTGGCAGTCAAGGCTCATCCCGTACTCCGCCTGGACCCCACCGGCCCCGTGCAGACCCTCCCTCCGGCCCCACCACGGCACCGGGAAGGATATCCTCCGGGACCAGGGCCAGCACCTTGTCCCAGCTCTCGGGGCTGCCCAGGATGTCCTGCCCCACCAGCGCATACTCCTCGAAGTACTTCTCCACCACGGCCACCGAGCGCCTGCGGAGAGCGGGATGGGCTCAGCGCCTGCCGGGGGCTGCAGGGCCGGGCAAGGGGGTCCTCACCCACCTGATGAAGGGGTGCACGGGGTAGGAGAGGTTCACCTTCTTCACCGTGTCTGCTCCGCCCTGTGGGGACAGGGGTGCTCAGCCTGGGGTGGCGGGCAGGGGTGCCTGGACCCCTGTGCACCCACTGTCACCAGGGTCAGGGCATCCCAGACCCCCACACACCCACCTTCACCAGGGTCAGGGCATCCCAGACCCCCACACACCCACCTTCACCAGGGTCAGGTACTCCACGGTGGCCGCCCGCAGTGCTGGGGACCATTTCCTCACTGCATCATCACACACCCAGCAGTGGACACCCCTCCGGCCCGAGTACACCCACAGGCGATGCCTCATGCCCAGGTCCTCTGCAGGGGGCACAGAGAGGCTTGGGGGCACATCGGGATGGACTGTGGCGACCACCCAAAGCTGGCGGTGCCACAAACCCACCGGGCACCGGTGTGTCCCCCAGCCGCACCAGAGTTCTGCCCCAGCCCTTCTTTGAGGTCTGGGCATCGCTGTGGGGCAGAGCGTGGTCTG